AGATATTTGGGGGATGTTTTGTCAAATAGTATGTTATGCTGCTTAAAGTGTTTTCTTGTGAATGCTACATTGTAATGAAAATCTTGAGCCTTATGTTTATATGTTTAAGCAGTTGTACCGACCAAAGTAATTTTGGGGATCACAATTAAATGGAAATGTTCTGCTTGATCTCAGATGTTTACATGAGTCCGCCTTTCAGTGCCAACTCCTCACCTTAACAAACCTCCCATCTTGGAATGGTTTGCACTCAGCTACTGCCAAATCATACTTTGTTCTGTAAGTTTCCAAAACACCACAGCATGATCACCATCCGCAAGAAGCAGCTGTCTTCAAAACTCTCCCCAAGAGMACTGACATAGAGCCACAAAATAGAGCCACAAAAATTATTTATGTGACCAAAGACATTTTCCTTTAACAGGGGAGCAGTTGAGCTTGTTTGCCTTGATACATAAAGAAAGTGAAGTTAAATCTCCACACTAACATTTGCAGCAGCAGCAGCAGCAGCAGCCACTTTTCCACCAGTTAATCTGGAGAAAAGTATTACTCAAGCTTCTACTGCAGCTACAGATAAAGATCTGCCTGAATTCCTTGCAATTAAACCACCTAACTATGGTCTGTTGCTTACTAGTGACCAACAAATGGAACAGACTTGCCAGGCTTCCCACGACAGGAAATGGCACCTGGCAGGGCAGCAAGGTGGGACTGCCACCAGCAAATAACACCACAGGGACCAGTATGGGACCACACCTTACAGCTAGTCCAAAGCCACACACCAGTATTTTCAGTACCATATGCAGTGACAGCATTAAATATCTAAAATGTATAAGTATTTAAATAAGCAAGGGCTTATTATTTTTTAAATTATTTCATTAATATGCTTTTATTACTCTTTATCATCATTARTGATGAGGAATACGTGTGGTCTGAAAGAGCCTTAAGCAAGAATAGACATTGTTAAGTAGCTGACATTCTAGCTTCTTTCAGCAGACACGTATGAGCCTGAGGTGTCCCTCTCACTCCCAGCATTCACAGTGTGTCAGTCGTGGACTGGAAACACAGCACACATCATCAACATGAGSTCCCTCAGTAATGAATGCCATGATTCCCAAATAGCCCATTCCTAGGCAATACAGTCGCCTGAGCAATCTTGGAATTGCCTACCACTGTTCCATGGCATAAAGGCAAAATGGGAGCTCCTCCACTGTCTAGGTGCAAGCACAGATGAGTGTTCAGGAGCAGTTTGGCTAAAGGACTGGGTAAGTGTGCTTTTTTTTAGGTTGACATCTCTCTCACCTGCCCCACAGACTTGCACAGGTTTAGCACCTTTCTCCAATGCCATCCACAAAAGCATTATTGAATCACATTCCTCAGCCTCCCGAGCATAAAAAGTCTCCTAAAATAAGGCTACAAGGTTGAAGAGTCTAATTTGCCACATGGGGGTAAAAAGATTATTTTCTGCTAGGTATCATGAGTAGTTTTCATATATAGAGGAGGGCTTCCTTTCTCACACTTTAATATTTTCCCTTATATACCCAACCCCCAGAGATCCACATCCCCTCAGAACGGCCTTTCACATCTGCATCTACCTTCCCCAGTCCTGTGTTCACATAAAATGTTCATGGAAAATAACTAAAGAAAAAAATCTCATCCCAAACTTGTATCTCTCTGACTCCACCCTGCCACTCCGGTCACTGACAGTCCCCGTCCCTCACTCCCAGTAGCCTGTCCTGCCCACATGCCAGATCACCACTTCACTGAACCYTTTCCATCCAGAGGCACCCCTGGACCACTGACCCTGCTACCACACCCCAAACCCCAGCCCTAATTTAATTTWAGCCCCTGCCCTGTGTCAGGGCTTGGAGGATCCACCCACCACAGGCAGGAGAGCCAGTATCTGCACAAGACAGTGGCTTCTGTGAAGATCTGTAGATTGACTATCTGATCCACAGTAAGTTAGCCTTACGAACAGTTCAGAGTGTAGAATACACTGTCAGAGGGCTTGGGCTGTTTTAAATCAGGCTCACACATTCGTGCTGCCGGGAACACCCGTGCTGCTGACCCGAAGTGGCGCTGCAGGCCCAGTGCCAGTGCAATCACARGATCAGTGTAATCTGCTGTCTTCAAATGCCACCAGCCCGCACCCTAAGCCAGGGAGCTTTTGARCTTTCAATTCTGCTGCTAACAACGGCAAATTTGTTCCACTTAAGGCAGATTTACCGTTAGAGTTACAAATACCAACAGCCTTCACACTCCCAGGCCCTGTTCTAGACTGCGAGCTTTGCAGCGCTGCAAACCCACTGAAGCCTTAATCCTCCACATTGTGAAACCAAAGTCAGCTTGATCCCCACATCTGATCTTTCCCTTTGATCATTTATCCTTTACAACCCTTACAGCTCCTAGCCTTGTGGCTCTTAGGAAATCAGCCCTCCAAGCCAGGCAGCACATCTGTCAGGATTCAGCAGTCATCTCTGCCCACCAGCTCCTCCTGTTCCTGAACCAGCCCCTCCGGAGACACCACAATTTCAGCACATCTGAGAACACCATGTTAAYGTGACAGTGACCTACCTTAAACACACGGTGCCTGCAACCTGCCAGCAAACCAAGCCCACATGCTTCTGCTTTCTGTGCCCCACTCCTAAGTACAGTCATTAGAGTTTTATAGCTGTGGTAGGAACCCAAAATTAAACAGCACCTCAATGCTAGTATTTTACCTCCTTTCCCTTGGTTTCAGGATTGGGAGGGAACTTGTGTGGGCAAGCAAGTTTCCAATGCTACCTCTCTGATCTTGATCTCTAAAACCAACAGATACTAAGACAACTTCAGCCAGCTTTCAAGAGTTAGAGGACTAAGCCGCTCCATTTGCTTTTTATCCCTCTCCGTGACTACTTTTTAAAATCCAGTATCTCAYGGTATTATCAAATTAGAGTCACTGTTGTGTTATCAGATACATTTTGTTTTTTTACCCTCTAGTATTGTCAGAAAGGATTTATTTCTCTCAGTACACTTAAGCTTTTTAAAGATACTTATCTCCATCTATGAGAGTGGAAGTCACATGCCCGTTTTCAGCATKTGAGGTTAACTGCCAGTCAGTCACCTTGAGCTTCCTTTGTAGTCAAGGGAAATAATTAGGCACCTTGGGAGGCTGATTCAACTCATTCTGAGATATTTATCTACCACAAGGCATATGAATGGCCCTGTGAGGCTGTGTATTCCTTTCCACTGGATATAAAGGGATTCAAAGGGAAAAAATATATTTAAATGCTTAACTGTAGACTTTTAATCAAGCAAAATTAATCCACCTAACCCACTGTTGTTCTTGAGCTTTCCTCTTGAACGGCATTGCAACACTTGAGCATTTTAATACGTGATTCATATGAAAGGCAAACACATACAAAATGTACTGCAGCCACTGCCACTAATGATGATAAAGAACAATACAAATAATTTTCTTATGTCAAACTGGGAGTTCATTTCAATAATGTCCCATTTTGTATAACATCTTTTGCTCCATCTCATATGGGTACTCCAGAAAGGTTTAAAAGCACTGAGCATCATCTTTTATTAAATATTTTTCCCCAAGATTTATTCTTTTTTACTATAACACATTAACATATTCGCCAGTGACAAAATGGACAAAAGCCCATTATTAAATGAGTAACATGCCAGAACGGAAAATATTACTTACTTTTGTTATAACCAAAAGAATAAACAGGCATCACTAAGCAGCAGAGAAGTCAATATTTTATTTAAACCAATCCAGAAAATTCCATACATGCAAAACATGGCATGCTGTACAAAAAAACAATATTGAAATCATCAGTATTTGAACTTCTTCCCAGTTTGAGAACTTAACAAGAACAACTTAGAACAACACAAGAACTTAACTAACTCCTCTACAAAACACTTTAGTTCTGACAATATCTAGAATTCATAGAACTAATCTAATCAGAAGGAAAACACATTTAGTACACAGGATGGAAACCACCACCCCTCCAGCCCCGCACAGCCTGATGGTGAAGATGTACACCCCTCCAGCAGTTTGGCCCTGCAGTGCTGAAGTCGGTAGGAACTCTGTGAATCATTTCAGTGGAAACAGATTCTGTGATAACATGGGCCTCTGAGAGGAGGGCAGCAGTCCTTCCTGTATGAGTAAAGACAGAACACTGACGCAAGTATAAAGCGCAAAGAAAGAAAAGATGAGGTGGATACAACCGACCTCATTCAAAATGAAAACATACCCTAGAGCATCTCACATATTTYCTTTTCCAGCCAGAGAACATCTCCTCATCTCTGAAGAAATATGTCCAAACACCTCTCATGCTAACTCTTCCTATGGCTGACTGATTGTATTAAGTAGATAGGAGAAATTAAAATTAAGAAATCCTTCAACTCYAACAATTTAAACTATCGAACAATCTTAAGTGCCTATTCAGTAAGGATTTAAAATTTTTCTAAACTTAATGAATAAAAATGTAGCATGATAATGTTTTACATTTCCCAATATATTTAGGTCACTGTAGTTATAATTATTTTTAATATTCAGAAAATATTAAAAGGTGTGATTTTTTTGTATGTGTGTGCTTATGCAAGCACAGACAGATCTAAAAATTCACACATACAAAAAAACCACTCAGGGATAATCTTGCAAAAATAAATGAAAACTAAGCACAGCAGGGCAATTAAGTCTTTAAAAGGGATGGCCTGGTTTTACTCGGTCCGATTTTTGATGGTGGGGGGATGGAACCAAGAAACCACAAGTTTCTTGTGGCTCCTGTGWGGAAGTTGTAGAAGCTTTCTCCTTCTTCTCCAGCAAAAGAAGCCCTACCCCCTGTGWTTTAGAGCCAATCCATCATGGCTCTGAGRTTGATGGACAGGCTGCCCATCAGGCCTGGGCCAATTGCACAGGATAGTCACACCTCTGTGATGACGTATTGTCTTGTACTTCAGAAGAATTCGAAACAAGATAGAGCACAGCCGCCATGTAGTTCTTAGGTTGTTAGTATCATGCACTGGGGAAAAACAGAGCAGGAGGGTGAGGAGATGTAAGAAGAAAAATGGAGACCCAAGATCACAGTAAGAAGACAGGTGCTGTGCTGTGGTGCTCGAACACAGAGAAAACAAGYTGTTCTCGAAAGGACTATTTCTTCAATAGGAGACCTGTACAGAAAAGGAGAGCRACCTTGCTCTGAGAAAAACCTGGCCTTGGAGGACTGGACTGATCAGAAGCCAAAAAGGGGGAAGAGGCTTGGCCACCGCCTCATGTCTGAAGTGAGTTGATGCTTAGAAAGAGCTGCATTCTGCCAGGAGATTTGTGATAGTGACCTTACRCCGCCGAAATAACGCAGTCGGCCTTGAAGAACAGTTTTTCCTTTCTCCCATGAGGTAATGAAAAAGAATCCCATGCCATCAGCAGTAATGCATTGACTGTTTCTTGGGGAAAGAACTTCCACAGCTTAGGCTCTTCTCCTATGATGCTGGAGTTTTGATCTATGTTAAACTTTCATCCCTGTCTCCCTTTGCATGTGGGAAGGCATGGAGGGGTGGGGAGAGGGGCAACTTGGAAGAGAGCCAGGTTTCCAGAAAGAATAACAGGTATCTTAAAACGTCTGTTTTTATTTTCTTCTCCTTGTAAATTTTTCCCTATCTTTGTTCCCCTCCCCAGTGCAGTAGTATTCTTAGTAGCTTTTAGTAATAAATCTATTTTGCAACTTAACCATTTTCTGGAGCATATACATATCTTTCTCTCAATTATGTTATGTTATCTAAAAGCCATAAATTTTAGTGTTAATTGGGCTTTTGCTCTCCCTTCTGCCTCTCCAGTGGGTAACGTTGTGGGTGCGGTGCTTTTGGCTTTCGGTCAAGTTCAAACCATGACAAGGGATAATTAACTTTTCGAAAACAATGTATCCTCTTAAATAAAGCTATCCTATAAAGAAAATATTATTTGAGATTGATATTCTGCAATGTACTTTCCACTGCAAAATCTACTATACTTCTTGACATTGTTTTTTTTTTWAAATGTGTTATTTCAAAATTAGAAATCAGACTTGAAAAATGCAAAGGTGACTGATCTCAGAAGTTTCACTTGTCTACAAAACTACATTATCATACAAAATGTTATTAAAATCTAGTAAAAATTACATGTTCCCAAACTGAATTCAAGAATTCCTTAGCTGTCCAGTTTTTCCAGTACAGTTAGGAAGTGATCATCTCCACCATTTCTGCAGGAGAGTGAAATGAGAACACTCTCAGCACAGAGCACATCAAAGACACTGCTTGACTTCCTGTCTCTGAACCGCCTGTGTGAGGAACCAACTGTCACCTTCCCCTGAAGAAAAACGAACATTGAAAGCATCTCCTAGGGTATGCCTCTAAGTTAGCACAATGTAAATACCCACCACAGAATCCAAAATCCAAAAAAGATTAAAAGGGTGACTCCAGCAGTGCTCTCCTGGAAAATTGGTTCCCTAAGAACATACTTTTAATGCAGTTCATAAGAATTAGGAAAAGCAAATTGACTCCCTTTATCAGATTAGCCTCACTAGGAAAGAAAAGCCCCACATACAATACAATTCAGCCATATCTATTTCCTACTCCCACCATTCTACTTTTGGTGATGTCTGTGGCACACACACAAGATAAGGAAAAGCCGGTTTCAGTAACCAACTGAATGTTCTTTCTTCTGGTAGAACACTTAGCTGTAACTAAGCATTCAGGGCGTTGTTTGGTAACAGCATTTCCTTTCACCTAATCACAAAGTGTTTAATCCACTCACTGAGGAAAGCAACATAAAAGTTTTTACTTGACTTGATAGCAAATCTGAAGTCAGATCTGTCACACACACATACAAAATAATAATCCTTCTCTGCTTTATAAGAAACTTTCTTATAGAAAAAGCAATCTTAACGAAAACAAAGACTATTGATAACAGAAAACAGTTCACACTTTTACTGGAAGAAAACAATGTTAATTAATAGTGAATTAGATAATTTTTTAATTCCTTTTGTGCTGGTTTTGGCTGGGATATAGTTGATTTTCTTCAGAATGGCAAGTAAAGGCCTAGATTTTGATTTTGTGCAAGAAACAGTGTTGATGACACCCAGTTGTTTTCATAATTGCTGAGCAGTGCTTGCAAAGGGTCAAGAACTCTTCCTGCTCCTCATCCCACCCCGCCAAGTGAGGAGGCTGGAGTGCACAAGAAGCTGGGAGAAGAAAAGCCAGAACAGCAGACCCCAACTAAGCACAGGGATATTCCATCCCACAGCCATCATGCTCGGCACACAGAACTGGGGAAAGAAGGAGATGGGGGAAGCGAGGACATTTCAAGTGTCTTCCCAAGTCACCAGCGATGTAGCCCTGCTTTCCTGGGGATGGCTGAACCCCTGCCTGCCCACAGGAATAGGTGGGTAAATCCCAAAGGTTCTGCTTCGCTTGCATGTGCAGCTTTTGCTATGTCTGTATCTCATCCAATGAATTCTCTCACTTTTASTCTCCCAATTTTCTCCCCCATTCCATGAGGAAGGAGTCAGCTGTGTGGRGCTGAGCTGCCAGCTGGGGATTAAACCACAGCACTTTTACAGTTTAAATAGAAGTTTCCTAATTACTGGGAAAATGTACACAGTAACTTGTAAAATTATGAAATATACAAGGATGAAAGCAGCTGTTAGAATGCAGTTAAACATTTCAACATTACATTTGTTCATAAGAATTTAGARTTTTTAGAATCAATTATTGACTTTCTTTTTGAAAAATATGGATGGAACAACTCAGGCCATCACTTATTTAGTTAATAAAATAACYTCAATTCTTTAACTTTTGCAGGCTACCCTACCATTCAATAAAAAAAYACCCAGACACCAAGCAAGCAAAATACAATAAATAACAGTAGTTCTTAAAACAACTGGTGTGAGAACCCCTCAGGCTGCCCTACCGGGCCCTGATGAAAAGGGTCTCATCAGGAGTTGCAGGACAATTGTCCTGCTCAGTGACAGTCTCTACTGTGCCTGAAGCAGACACAATCACCATCGTTTTAGCTGCTGACAGAGCTTTCTCCTTCTCTGCAATGGCAGCACAGACTGCCACAATTTCATCACTTTCAAAGTCATAGTCTGGGATTGACTCTTGTGCAAGCTCTTCTCCTTTYGCCAGTGCTTGCACTGACTCAGTCTGTGTTGCCTTCTTCTGCTCCTGTAGTTTTCTTGCCCAGGAAAGGTCTTCTTTCCATACTTCAGGGTTCATTGGAAAGATGTGCAAGGATACCTGGAAGCTTCGAATTGCCTATAGYAGAACAGGGAAAAAACATAGATTGGACACTTTAGAGCCCACCTATTTCATAAAAATTGACAACAAAAAAATTACATCATTAGAGCAAAGSCAAAAGCCATTTTGCTCCTGTCTTTATTGGAGCAATGCTCCCTCAGCTTGAGTTCAATAGCRGCCTCACCCCCAAACAACTGTGTCTGAAAGGACAAAAATGCATGAACAAACGGGGTATCTGGCAACAAGGGCACAAATAAAGGGTTCACATACAAAAAACAATATTGTAATGAAAGRGGTAAAAGCAAAACCAATTTTCTGATGGTTTTCTATTCCACTTTTCTCTCATCRTCAGATGTATGTAAAGGCAAAAGCAGACAGATATGGTTTAAAGGAATACAGAAAACGGATTACTGGAATTTGAAGTATTACTAATATTGCTGCCTTTAAAAGAGCATGCAGTCGTTTCACATACAGACCTAACACTACACTAATATCAGCCACATGGTAAGCAGTTTCTGTAACAGGTATGTGATTATAAAAACACTCCCATAAATGGGAAAAGGGAGYCAAATAAACTCCAAATTTGGAAAGCTGCTCTAAGAAAGAACCTCTATGATCTTATAAGCCATGTAAAATTAGTACCAGTAAGTATAGTCAGTAGTGCTTCTCCTTTTTTCAGGATACTGGGAAAAGACCACATAAATCCTCAACAGAGAAGCTGTGAAATACAAAAAGGAAAAGTGTGGCCATCTAAAAGTAAAGACAAGGTTGCTACAATACTAGAAAAAAGAAGTATTTTAGTTATATTAAAATGGTCAAGGCTGAACTTATCTAGTCAAACTTAGGTGGCATGTACACAAAAATGTGTGTGTATTTCAYATTAATGACTGTACAGTCAGTTGTGAAAATGGGTCACCTCAGAGACTGAACTCATGTGTGACATGTACAGAGGCCTCCCTACAAGATGAGAAAACTATGATGATATGGATTGGGATGAYACTTGGGAAGAGTTCTAACAACTTGCATATTAGAACTTTAATGACATATGGTAAACCATCAGATTCCATATTCTGTTGTAATTTATAAATAGTTAAAGCATGCCAATTAATTTGTAAAATCAGAACTTTTCATCTGCACTGCCAGAAACTGAKAGTTTGTCCTTCTGGTGGCAGAGATGAATATATGGACTCCATATGRTAGGAACTCAGAAGAAAGAGAAACAAAATCAGATTTAAGAAATGCTCATTATGCCATCAGTATTACTGCTGTTGTAACAGGCAGCCTTTCAGTTCCAGATGGAAAAAAAAGAAGCTTGATTATTGGTCCACAGCCAGGTCTGAAGTGTAGGAGCATGTTGAACTTTAAACAGAAGGAGGAGTGAAGTATAATTCTTGTAAAACAGTGTCACTTTATTCAACTTTGCTAGCTTTTAATTTTCAGGGATAGATGAACAAGTAAACACTAAATGCTCTTTTCTGTATTTCTGCTGAAAACAAAATATAAACGAATACCATCTGCTTTCAAGCTTTCCATGAGAGGTCCCTTAATTAAAACCTGTCTATATAGTTATGCTCATGCACAATAAATAACATTTGGTAAGCTTCAAAGCTGCTTTGATGATTCATACAACACAGCATAAAAAGATCTTCTTAGTGAATTTATTAGAAAAAAGTTTTGTGTTTGACATTTTGATAAAGAAATAACCAATTATTAAAGTAAATTTTTAAGTGCCACAAAAGATCAGAAGGATTAATTTTAAAGCAGCAATGTAAAACTGAAAAATATACACTTGTCMTCCATTTAAAATTTTATTTTGCCACTGCAAATGATGCCCAAAGCCACTAATTTCTATTAAGAGAGAAGAAAAGAACGGTGCTACTTTTAATTCTTCCCCTAATGGAGATGTAAATCTGCTTCTCCAATTGCCTGTCACATTATAGGAAACCATGTTGACCCTACATAAAATTGGTATTTCGAGCTTCATTTTAAAGAGCAGCTGTGATTTTAAAGACCCTGCACACACAAACTACAGTACACAGTCATGTATCTGCTTTTGCTTGTTAGGGAAGTGCAGTGTAAAACCCACTGCAAGACAATCATGCTTGTGGAATTACAATATTTGAAAAATCTGTATTTGTAAAGTATTTTACATTCTGTCTCACCAAACAATATTCCATAGCAAACAATCTTTCATCTGTCCCATGAGCAGAATCTCTTCTGCTGGTTTGCAGAGTTTTCAAATGTGAAGGGCAATCCTGATCACGCTGCACTTTTTTACAAATTTCTGCAACATATGGACTTAGTAACTGYCACTGAAAGACAGAAACCCCTAAAAAGGCTAAGGGAGAATTTTAAGAGATTATATCTGCTGCCATGGTATGTGTTAAGCCTTTATGTTACACTTGCAGATACGTTCTGACCTGTTTCAAAGGATGTCTATCAGTGAAGAAATGCATGCATTTGTAGGGAGTCTTTTCCTGTGTTCAGTGAACTTCATACAGAAATTTTGTTTCTTTGTGTGTTTTTTTTACAGCACTCAGCATAGTCCTCGCAGTTGCTGGTGCATGAAAAGCTGGACATGCCCCGGCCATGGCACTCMCAGCCCAGAGAGCCAAACGTGTCCTGGGCTGCACCCAGAGCACCGTGGGCAGCAGGGGAGGGAGGGGATTCTGCCCCTCTGCTCYGCTCTGCTGAGACCCACCTGGAGTGCTGTGTCCAGCCCCGGGGTCCTTTAGAACACCGTGGAGGAGGACGTGGAACTGTTGGAGTGAGTCCAGAGGAGGCAACAAAGAGAATSAGGGGCTGGAGCACCTCTGCCACGAGGACAGGTGAGAACATTGYTCAGACTGGAGAGAGGATTCAATGACACTTCACAGCAGCCTCCTGGTACCTAAAAAGGGCCCCCAGGAGAGCTGGAGAGGGACTTTTTACAAGGATGTGCAGTGATAGGACAAGGGGTAATGACTTTGAACTGAAAAAGGATAGATTCAAGCTAGATGTAAGGAAGACATTGTTTACAATGAGGTTGAGGAGATACTGGAACAGGTTTCCCAGAGAGGTCATGGATGCTCCATCCACGAAAACACATCATGCTGGACAGTGCTCTGAGCAATCTGGTCTAGCTGAAGATGTCCTAGCTGCTTGCAGAGGGTTCAACTTCCAAAACCAAAGCTCTCTATGATTCTATGACAACTGGAATTTAAGTGTTATTTTTTGTACTATTCACCATGAACATAAATAAATAATTTTTCCAGAAGCACTAAGCATTGTAATCTAGACAACAAGGAAATACCAAATATTTTAGTCTATTTAAAGACTCCTTACAACATTTCTCTTCTTCAAACAAGAAAACAAATACAAACCTTTCAGGTATTTCTCACTCCAGTTTAATAACTTCTATGGTTTAATCTGAATGGCAAATGTATTATCTTTTTTAACTTTAAACTGCCAGTTTGAACTTTTCTGTGCAATTTTCTGCACAGATGATTTCTCCTTTTCAATAAAACCTAGCATTTTGCACCTCTTACATTTACAAAATCATTTTATTCAAAATCATTTTATTCAAAGGTTCTGGTGCTTCCATATTTTGGAGAAAATACTTGAAATATCRTAATTTTCCAGATGTGAAAGACTATTTTTCTCATATGCTTATTGGGACTGGTTAAGTTACAAATGCACAAAAGTCTTTGTTCCTGTATGGGAGATGTGCGTGAGATAACCTCACTTCCACACCTACTTTCTTCTGCTTTTGAAGAAGTTTGTGTCCTCCTCTTGTACTTTTGCTTCGGTGACAGATTTCAGAGGTGTCATTCTGCACCAACTCATTTATTCTCAGCCCTCTTTACTCCCATTTAAAGCCTTTCTGCCTTTATACCTCAGTGTACATCCCTGCAAGGCTGCAGCACATTCTGCTGAACTCTCTGCTTCAGGTTGACTCTACCACAGAGATCTMAACACGGTGCTCCACCAGAGACAAGGATACAAATCCAGGATGACCTGGAAACAACCACAAAAATCAAACCCATCCTAGAAACTGACACAGCCTAAGAACATAAAGCTTAAGTTTTATGAGTACTTCTACCTTGCAAATCAGGGAAGTGCAAGAAAACATTCACTTCTTTATTACCAAAATACATTGCCAAAATTATTAGAGGAATTTTAAAACAATGGTCAAATAAACTTTCTTCAATATTCCTGTTTATCTTATGCTATTCATCTCTTTTAGCTAACACTCTCAATTAAAAGGTCTAGATTTTGAGAAATGCACTCTTCAAAAGTCCTGAGCACCTGACAAAGGTATTAAACAGGAGGCACCAGCTGAATCAGTCACAGTCACTCGTAAGAATTGAGTATCCCTGGCAGAAATGTAGCTGAAAAGGACACTTAAACTTTTGGAGATCTGCTTGTCCTTCTGCTTTCTTGACCAAAAATAAAAATTACCTCTGATTATAAGATTTTTCTGTGCATTAATAATCGCTATTGCAAAACATGATTTCCAAGTGGTTAAAAAATGAAAAAGGTTAMTCTGCAGTAGATGGAGAGGCAGGACTAATACATGACCTTTCTGGGTCCTGGCTATTACTGGCTATTACCTCAGTAACTCAGCAGGACTCTTTAAAGCTGTTGAAAATAATTTAACATGACCCTACTCTAACAACGCATGGAACTTTCTGTCTAACTACTTCCCAAATACTTAAGACTTTTCAGTAGAAGGCGAACTACCAGTTTCCTTTTTATTACCAAAATATTTTATGTTTCTAAATGCTAACATTTGTAACATGTTGAAAAATTATCTCAAATTCAGAATTACTTAACTAGCTACATTCCAATAAAGCAGTCATTCCTCTCTTGAGGAGTAAATAACTCTCATCATTTTCTAAAAGACCTAAAACTATTTCTTTCAAGAGAGATAAAAGGGCTGATCTAAGGATTCATACTGTCAAGGCTTGATTCCTTTGCCAGAATGTTGTGTCACACTTAAAGACAGCTGAAGCACTAACTACTTAGCAGGAATACAGGAAACCACATCCTTCAAAGCATCAAACAAAATCCGTGAACAAGTGGTGCATATTTACACATCTACCCTCTCAACTGTGTGAACCTCAGTGCTCCAGATTTGACAGGGACCCAGAATGAGGTAAAGCTGATGTCACAGAACCACAGAATGGCTGAGGTTGGCCAGGACCTCTAGAGGTCACCTGGGCCAAGCCCCTGCTCAACAGGGCCACCAGGAGCTGGTGGCCCATGACCATGTGTGCACCACCTTACCACATCACATGGCTGATGAACTCCTCCATGGTGTGAGACTCAGTGCTTTCATTTGGTCCTTAGATTGTTTTGTGGGTTTGGTTTTGGTTTTCCTTTTTAATGCTGCTTTCRTTTGGTTTTTTTTCCCTTGATTAATCAAAGCATAGGGCTCACTCTGTCTCATGGGAGGAACTGCTCTAATGGAGCTAYCAGTGTAAAATTGTTAACTAGTTAAGATGTCATCAGCAGTACAGGAAACGTAATTTGTAAAATCAAATATTTACAATGAAATGAGAGAAATATAGCAAGCCTGACTATATTTCTACAGTTTCTACACTCRCACTGAAGATGTATCAGATAAGCTCTGCACATTGGTTTGTAGAATTTAAGGATCTTCTGCTTTTACAGAAATAAAGTTTACTTGCTCACATTTATGTATTACCGTTGAATTACACTATTTAGTAAATTCAGAAAAAAAGAGCAAACAACCTTTATAAAAGCTAAATAAAAAGGGATTTATTTAACTCATTCTTTCTGCCACAAGTTTGAAAGAAGCAAAATCCAAGCAAAACTTGTTTCTTTTTTATTGTGCAGCTCGTAATATAAATTAGATTTGTTTGGAAGCAACATTTTAGACCTGGGAAACTTCAAATTAAAATACCATACATTTTTTTYCCTAAAAACAAATGCATCATTCTTTGTGAAGTAATAAAAGTATTCACAACAGACCATTTGGCAGGATGTGGGTAATGAAGACAGATGTTGGTGGGGGAGAAATGAAACAAAGAAACAGAAGAAGTTTTTGAGAAGTTTTTGAGTAATTCCCAAATCTCAAAAAAAATACTAAAAAGCTCTAAATATAAAAATACTAAAAATACTTTATTAACTTTTCTTTGTAGAAAAAATTATATAAGGAAAAAAATAGAAAATCATGGCAATAAAAGGCTAATGGAAAAAGGGTTATTATGTCTTAAACCTCTTGGTCAAGAAGTCTCCACAAGTTCAATAATTATGAACTCATTTAATATTTTAAAACTCCTTCAGTCTCAACCTCTTAAGATTCCTTAAAAAYTGCTTGGCTCAAAAACAAGTAGTGAACACTGCATTTTAGAACAATTCCTCAAGCTCTCTGTATATGGAACATATTCATCAGAAGGCAATTCAGGCTAAAGACAGAAAGGCAGTGAAGTGTAAACACACAGTACCAAAGCACTGGAGACACCAAAAGGAGCTCACACACCTCCGGCTCCCTATTCAGAGATAACCAAAAACATTAAGAAGACAACCTGCCTGATGATAATCCCTCCTCCCTCCCTCTTCACAGACAGTGAGGTCAATTTTACAGCCATAGAGGCACTGAGAGCAGTGTTTCAGGTGAATGAAGTGCATTGCTGCAAATATCTGATTATTACCAATAAAAATGCTTTGCTTTGCATCATACAAAAGTCTCAGACATATAAACTAGATGCCTTTCTAATTAAGTTCAACAATGCCTCTAAGAGAGAACTTGAAGTGCTACCCTGAAATAAAACAAAATTAATATAATGTGAACACAAGGTCCCTAGCAATCAAGAGATCCCCCTCCATCAGAGTTTTCATGATTTGTCTACACAGAGGAAGCTTACAGAATCAGGTGAACCGAYCTGGTAGGTATAGCTAGTATCAGTGTATCATTATCTACACCTGATATCATAGCAACTGTAGCATTTTTTACAGACTAAACAGCATCARTTACTTAGGATCCTTGAAGGAAATAATATATTTCTAAGACTAGTGCTTTTAAAAATCTCATTACATAATTTATAGTGACAGTTTCACACACTTACAAGGAAAAGATTTAGTCAGAACGGACCACTTACCCTTACCTTCTATACCACAAAAAGCAATGGAATGCCACCAGTTTTGGAATGATGATATGCATGGATTTATAAAGAGATAGTTCATATTATAATACTATATTATAATCATAATACTATATTATATTAATATAATTATAATACTGTATTATATTATAATACTATATTATAATACTGCACCAACAAAGGGAGCAGACTGCACATCAGCAAGACACAACTTTTGTTTTAGGTTTTGTCTAACAGGACTGAAGCATCTTCTCTCTGAAGATGGTCTGAAAGAGCCAGGGCTGTTCAGCCTTGGGAAGAGAAAGTTGTGTGAAGACCTCACAGCAACCTGCCAGGAGGGACGCTGGAGAGGGACTCTTTGTCAAGAACTTAGTGATAAGACAAGGAAYAATGAGTACAAACTGAAAGAGGGGAAATTCAGGTATTAGGAAAATATTCTTTCCTGTGAAAGTGCTGAGACTCTGGCACAGGTTGGCCAGAGAAGTCATGGATGTCCCATCTCTGGGAGTGTTCAAGGCCAGGSTGGAATGGGGCTTTGAGCAACCTGGTGCAGTGGCAGGTGTTCCTGCCCACAGCAAAAGCAGGTTTGAACTAGATGATGTTTAAGGTTCCCTCCAGCCCAAACCATTCTCTGATTCTAGGTGATTCAGACTGTTAGGGTTTGCTTTGGTTTGTTTGGGTTTTTAATAATGCTCCTTACTTACTACACTTTGAAAACTCGTTTTGCATGAATTGCAAACCTTCAAAAGAAAAGGCAAACCATTTTTTTAACTACTAAAATTTTTCAGACCAAACATTGTAACTTTGCAAACACACTCTAAATTAACAATGAAACTATTTGTATCAACACCACACAGAGCTACTTCTATTCAAAATACAGTCAGTATCTTTCCTMATCTGAGAGGTCATGATGAATTATTTTTCTAAGGGAACTTTATGACTGTGTCCAAATTTTAAAGTTCACTTGTTCTGTTTTCACAGAAACCAGCAGAAAAATACACTCTATATATTACACTATTTACAGACGGGGTGGCGTGACATGGGAAGGAGAATGTCCCTTTGTATCACATCATGTAACCAAGACAACACAATGGTATATAGCTGCAGCTGGAGAAAAGATGCACTTCAGCTACTGCAGAGCAATCCTGGCTTTTTTGCTGTCTTAAGTGAAGATGCAACTTCAGCCACCTTTTGGGATCAGGAAGCCAGAGGAAAGCAGGAATGAGCACACAATGATTTGCTGCATGCAAAACAGGAGAGCAGGACACAAGAAAAACAAGACACCATAATTTTATCAGCAGGCATGTATAAAACTGAGCCTGAATTATCAACTGAGTCTGGGACTTCACATCACCTTCATCTTCAAATTATGATGAGCTGTACTGCAGCAGTACAACACACAGAATGTAGTATGTGCAGTTATGTCAACATAATTGTTCTATTTCATAAAACCACCACATAAATACAGTATATGACACAAAAGTCTCGGAGCTAGACAGGTCTTTCACAAGTCCAGCAACAAATCCACACAGGAAGCATTGGTGAAACACAATAAACTGGAGGGAACACTGGAGATAAATAATAACAATCTTTTTCCTTGTCTGTGCTCAAGTTACCAAAAGGATATACAGTAATCTTCGTATTTCTGTACTTTCTTTCTCACACACAATTAATTCTGTTATCCTACCAGTGCTATCTCTCCTAATCCAAGCTGGGCACGTCCTAAAGTCTGCCAGGCATCCCAGGAACGTGGGTTTCTCTGGACAGCCATTTCTGCTGCATGCACTGCTGGGAACATTTCATGTAAGGACATCAGGACCTGTAACACAAAAAGAAAAATAAGAGGAAGAAAAATAAGRGGAAGAAAAATAAGCAAAATTGAAAAGAATTTTAAATTTTCTGGGATTACCCAGGCAACAACCACTGTTTCAATAACTAAGGACCAGATTCATCTTACCTAGCTTTCTTTAGTTTAAAATTTAGTTGTCTGATCTCAGATAATCACCAGACTAATTTCAATCCCCACAGAGAGAAAGAGGCAAGTCAGAGGATGATTCACCCAAACCATTTAATCAACTCAATTAGAAATAGATTAATTGCTTCTGAAGGTGCCTCTCCTTGTCAACAAATCTTACAGTCTATAAAAGTGTAACAGAATACTCAGGAAGACAAACACATGGAGAATTAAACACMATAAATGTGCAAGTATTGTGGAAACACCCCTGGGCTGKTTTTTTTTCTTTTAATAGAGAACTGAAATCTACCAAAGACAGTTGCGGTGCACAATATAATTATAGAAACAATCCCTGTAACTCAGCATGGAAACAGACCTTAACAATGACTGTTGTATTTAGAGAACAAGCATTCTGCAAAGACTAACTTAGACATGAGGTCACCTACATGAAGTAAGGAAAAAAGTGGTTTTTGAATGTGAAAAACTCTGTTACTCACCATTTACCACAGTATTATTATTCTTGCATTGAATCTCCATAACTAAGCCTATAAATCATGGTTAGCAATCTATAATGTGGCTCAAAGCTTGCCTTATGTTTCCAATACCACCATGAGATTGGCACATCACCTGAAGACCTGCATCACTCTGAGATCATGATTTCAGACACCCACATGCTATGGGGACAGATACCAGTGTAAGAAACAAATGGCAACTGCATTCCTGCAGTATGATGAGAATGTCAACCACAAGGGTAAGACTCATTTGTGGGCAACCACTTTCATCCCAACTGACCACAACTATGATGAATAATATTAGAACATATCAGAGCTACTGGTGAAGTGCAAAACAGATTCATTTAATCTTACTGTTCCATGACATATTAAATAGATAAATATGAGCATGGAGTAGAGGAAGATTCAAATGCGATCATCTTGAACATTTACTCTACTTAACATATAGTAGATGGACAGAACAGAGGCGAGTAGTATACCAAAAAAAGGTGGGGAGGGAAAGGGGAAGGCTAAGATTTGCTACAGAAAGTAAGCCTGTACTGAAGAAATCAAGAAATACCGTAAGCATAGCTTCTGATAAATGCTTTGGATTGATACCTCTACTGTTCTAATATGACTAGATTTTTCTAATGCCTAGTCTTATGGCTTCACTTTAATTTCATTCAATGGACTGTACCTCAGAATTTAGAAGTACCAAAAAATTTTTAAAATACAAACCTACAGCTGTATATCACCTTCCCTTTTTTTTTGTTCAACAGTTCTCATGACTGTATTCTGTATCAAAGTCTATAATGAATGCTATGTATTTTTCCAAAACTTTCAGATCAATTATATTGGTATGGGCCATTTCTCTTATCTGCAGCAGACGTGAAATAAATAAAACTGTTGCTAATGGATAGGTGTACATCCCACCAAGATGAAGCAATTCTGCATCTATCARCTACCTTTTACATCAGTGTCTTAATGTATTTAATCTCGTAAGAGAAAACAAATCCAAGTATACACTCGTAGGAACATTTTTATGCATCCCAAGTATTCAGTACTTCCTACCAGCTCTTTTTACTACAAACTAATTCCAAAACATCTGTGTAAGTGCTTAGGAAATCTTTTGTAGTGTTTAATGAATTTTACTGGTTTGTTTACTGAATTATTGCCTCATTAACAAAGCAAATTATTCCACTTTCATCTATTCATGACTATTAGAAAACCTTCTTAAAACTAATCCAAAAATCAGAAAATTTACAAAGCAAAAAAAAAATTTCAATTCTCTCACTCCAAACACACACACACATATATATGTGTTAAAAGTGACTAGAGGGAAATGTCTTATAAAAATGTTCAGTAAGTGGATTTTGAGGTTTTACTTTATTCCAATAAATTTACCATTATTACACGCTTTAAAACAATAACGTCCATGTCCTATAATGACTTGGTTTAACAGATCTAGCTTTAGAAAAAGTCATACGTGAGAGATTAGAAGAATTAAAAGAATTCAGTGGCAAAAAGCCAAGTAAACATAGCAACTGTCATCAGGAGGCTGACCAAGTATTAGAAATTCAGGCAATAGAGTGACCCATCCTGTCCTATTCACAATATTTTGGAAGTGTTATGAATCTGAGTAAGTTCTGGTTTTAAATGAGCTCACTGGATTGAGGCTGAATCACTATATATAGATACGTTCCACATCCAGAAAAACCGACCCAATTCCTTTTTCCATCCAGAATTCCATTTCAAAATACASATGAATAAAATTCATCCTATCCATAAGCAGTTTACATTCACCCATGCTCTAAAGCAACTACCATTGTACCACACAGAAATACTTCTTTGCAATTTAGATTTCTGGAGTTCACACTAATGTTTTGACAGTTAACTCTTCTCTCTATACATCCCAATTTAAGAAAAAATAAAAAGAATCACATTTATTTAGTTGATTTTTTTATAACCTAAACTTGGGATTGTAAGTCTTCTCATGTCTTAGAAACCTTTTAATTTTTTAAGCAGGAAGAGGGATGGGTAGAAGCTGATAYTATTTCTTAATTAGATTAAGAAATAAGATTAAGAAAAGATTAAGAAAACCTCTATAAGAGGGGAAGTGGAATGATTTGAATATGACAGGTTTCATATATAAAAACAAAGAGACATACATCTGTAGTCCTTGTCCTGTTCAACGAATGCAAATTCAGGATGCAGCATTGTGGAAAACCAGATTCTCATACAGCTGATGACAAAACATCCAAAAAATTACTAAAAGGAACTAAAACTGATAGTTTACATTTGAATTCACTTGTTTCTAAAAATATGTATCAACAATTGTATTGTGTACTTCCAAAATTCCAAACTAGTTGCATAGTTATTTGAGATTTGAGGTGTAAGTATCACAAGAAAAGCAACACAAACCAGGTGAATTCTCAGGAGTAGTACAAAATAACAGAATGTCTGGTTCCCAAGAGCAGTTATTACATACAAGTCCTTTGAGATCACTGTTCACCCAACAATGTCCCTATGGTCATGTCCAAATGTTCAGACACAAGATCAAAGAATAYGTCAAAGCCTGCTCCTCCATCTTTGTAATTCAAAGCAGTAACGAAATAATCCAGTCAATGTGTAAGAAATTCAGCCCACAATTAATCTCAATTCACCAGTCATTTACTTAATGACTGCATGAATACAGACAGTATTGAATACACTTACAATACTAAGTAACTAACATCACAATCAACATCAGGCTGCTGTTGTTGGGTTCTTTTTGGTTTTCCACAAAAATGTAGAAACAAACTTGCATAAACATTTACTTGCTACTCATTGTTCTTGCAATGGGGAAACTGCTTAGGCTAGTAATGGAATATCAACTACATATACTGACAGATCATTCATGCAAAGAAAAGTACACCCCTAACCTCTCAAAAACCATAAAAACTTGTTTTTTAAATGGATCAAAGAGTAGCTGAGAGCAACAGAAAAAAAAATATTGTCAAAGTCTATGTTTTTTTGAAGCAATTGTGCAATTCCAGTATTCCCATGTGATTTTCTGGAAACACACTTATTCCAAGCATCTTTAACAACTAGAAACTTTAAACACTATTTCCGCTCTTCAGAAATGCTGAAAGACATTTGTCCTACATYTGTTAAAATACAGATCTGTAAGAACTTACCACAAATATTTACAGATTCCTACAGCACCATTAGCATATTTATCTGAGCTCCGTATTAAACAATTCAGTATTGAAAATGTTAAGTTTGCTGTTGAGAAAGGAAATACTAATGAACAGAGAAGCTGCTATGTAACCCAACATAAGGTTAGCCTAATAAATATAAAGATGTAAGACAGTTACTCAAGCCAAAAAAAAAAACCCACTTCATCCTCCAGTGTTAATTCTCAAAAGAAATTACTTCACGAATAAACATTTTCTCACTGAAAGAAAATKAATATAGACCATAAAGAACCTTTGCATATCATAAGAAGTAATTTCTAAAATGATTCTCCTCCTCCAGTATGCAACCCACATTACAAGATGGGGATTTTTTTAGACCTAGTGCTGGTCAATACCTTGCTGAAGTCMGTGTAGGTTCTCCAAAACATTTTCACTGAGCTACACTGCAGAACTTGTGCTGCTGTGCTGGACTAGAATWACGAAGTCAGCAACACAGACAGTATCCTTTAAATATTGGCCACAATATTTTTTTGAATGAATTACATATTTCTGTTTTGGCCAAAGTGGATTTCTACAGCTCACATCAGTGCCATTAGAATTACAAAGATATCMAATTACACATTTTACTTAACAGCTTCCAGTAAGCCCAAGTCATACTGCAAAAAAATCTGCAATAATTATTTGCATGTTCCATTTGCATGGAAGAGTGATTACCAACTGAAACATTAGATGTTTTATTAAAAAGATACAATAAATAGTTTTATAAATGTATGTTTTGTACACRTTTTTCTTGTGTTCTCATTCACAGTGTAACAAGTGTTATGCAATACAAGAAAGTGAAATCAAAGAGAAATGGTGCAACTACCCAGAACTGCTCTCTTTCTCAGGAAAGAAAACAAARGCATGGTAGGAGCAGTTTTTTTTCAGCTTTCATTACTCTCCAATGGTTTCATCAGACAGGGAAAGATATTTTATAAGATGAATCAGAGTCACACAGCTGTTTCTCAGCTCCTCCTGGTCAGCAGAAAAGCAGTGTGCCTCTAACTCACCTCTGCCACCTTGCTGAATGCCAACTGAACTCAGTACTAGGTATTCCATCTGTAGCACAGACTGAAGCATGCTGTAGTAAGCATCCCTTTGGATAATTCACTGCATCATAGCTCAGATCCAGGTAAGCTTATACATTTTCCAGTTTTYCTGTTATTTTCAGTGTGAAAATACTTTATTATGGTGTAATTTCAATTGAACAGAGTGCTTTTAGGGACCTATCTTAATTCTTGCATTCACGTAAGACCCTAATAAAGAACAGCTACAAGGGAGCTGTTCACTCATTTGTCCCACCGAGCAGAATTGTCCTGAAATTTTCACCAGCTTTCTCTGTTTTAGTCAAAACAGAGTTAGAWCTTTAATTATGACAATAAAATTTACAGATACCATCTTCACATCTAAGCAGATTTTCTCTACTAGTGGAGTCAAAAATTAAACATACCAATTAACTGCTATGTAAGTTAACACCTTTTACAACAATCTGGAATRCTACTAATTAAAGCAGAATTATATTATATTGTCTCCTCCAACAATGCATTATCAATATTTGAAATTCCTTAGTGCATAGCTCTGCAGATGCTAGAAGYTTACAAGAGAGCAGAAAGCATTGAGACAAATTAGTTGAAGAAAAATTTTTCAACACTTCTAAACAGAGAAGTCCCAGAGCCAAAGGTTGCTGGAGGCTGGGAAAGTATCAGTAAAGAAGTATTGCTACATGCTCGTGCCATTTGTACAACTCTTTCACAGCCATCCCACCAGGCTAAACAGATCTTTCATTTACACTAACACTCAACAGAAAGCCAACAAYACACTTCTCCCAAAACAATTTAAAGAAAAGCCTTTAAGCCTTAGAGTTTCTCTCAAACCAAATGCATAAACCAGTMAAATCTAAACATTCTGCAGCTATAYAWGTTAAAAACAYCCTTCAAWATTACTGTATTGAAATGAAATTGTGRTGATTAAATTAATTCTCCTGCAGAATCAAACTTTCTTGCCTTCACAAGACAACTCACATGACTRAGAGAAGGAAATGTGGTAATATCCATTAAAATAGGCAGCCACCACACCCTGGAAAAGAGACAGCACTGGAACCTGGGGTTTGCTGGGGTTTGGGTTTTTTGGCTTCTTTCCTGGGGAGCTGGGGGTGTTACGGTTTTGACTGAGATTTTTATACAATAAAAAAATTAGAGTAACAATCAAACAGTACAGCAAACTTCCTAAAAGTCATATGATACATTCACTGAATTTTTTTTCTCTTTGCCTCTCTTCTTCAAACAATGTATTTTTTCATCTACACAGTTACTGATGTAACTGGATAGCCACAGGTCTACAGGGCCTGTTGAGATGCATCCCAGAATCCTAAGGGACCTGGCTGTTATCTCCATTATATCTGAAAATTCATGGCAATGAGATGAAGACCCAGTGGCTGGAAAAAGAGAAACATCACTCCCATATTTAAAAAGGGGAGAAAGAAAGACACAGGGAACAGGTGAGCCTCACCTCTGTGCCTGGGAAAATCATGGAGCAGAACCTCACAATAGCAATGTTAAGGCACATGCAAGTCAAGGGTGTGACCCAAAACAGCATGGCTTTACTAAAGGGCAGGTCATGTCTGACCAATCAAGTGTCTTCTTTGACAGATAACTGCAACAATGAACACAGGAAAAATGACTGATGTMATCTACCTGGACCTCTGTAAGGTAGAAAAGAGAGACTTCAACACAGTCTTACTCAACACCCTTCATGTCCACATTGAAGAGACATGGATTTAAAGGGTGGACTGATTGGTGGGTAAGGAACTGGCTGGATGGGCACCCAGAGGACTGTGGTCAATCCTCTATGTCCAGGTGGAGGCTGCTGACAGGTGGTGTCCCTCAGGGCTCTGTTTTGAGATCAATGCTCTTCAATATCTTCGTCAATGACAGAGAGTGGGATCAGGTGCACCCTCAGAAAGTTTCCAGATGTCATGAAGCTGAGTGGTATTGAAGGAAGGATGACATCCGAAGTAACCTGGAAAACTTGAGAAGCGGACTCCTGGGAACCTCATGAAATTCAACGAGTTAAAATGCAAGGTGCTGCACATGGATTGGGTAATACCCGATCTGAGCACAGACTGGGAGAAGAATTCATTGAGAGCAGCCCTGCAAAGCAGAACTTGAGGGTTCTTATGGATGGAGGACAAACCTCATCCTGGGCTGCTTCCAAAGTACTGTGAGCTGCAGGTCAAGGGAGGGGATCCACTCTGCCTTTGTGAGACCCCACAGTTCTATGGTCCCCAGCACAAGAAAGACACAGATCTGTTGGTACAGGTTCGGAGAGGGCCAGCAAGATACTCAGAGAGCTGGAGCACCTCTGCTATGAGGAAAGACTGAGAGAGCTGGGGTTGTTCAGCCTAGAGAAGACTCAGAAGAGACCTCACTGGGACCTTTCAGTTCCTATGGGGGCCACAAGAAAGCTGGGGAGGGACTTTCTACAAGGGCATGTAGCTATAGGACAAGGGGAAGTACCTTCAAACTGAAAGAGGGTAGGTTTAGGTTAGATATTAGGAAGTCTTTTACAAGACTGATTTATCTATGTAACAATTCATATGAAACCAGATTGAAGCATATCTTCTGCATTCAGTGTCCCTGTTTAATATTGATAGTAGGTATTAAGTAGTAGTAGTAGGATTAAGCTGAATCTTTAGAAAGAGAAGGCAGATTTTTAATGGTCAAATTCACAATAAAAATCCGTGACAATAAAGCTCTCCTTGATCTATCTAATACAATTTTTATGTATTTCCATTTTTATTCCCACATTGTAGCATCCTAATTCATGGCCCACCAAAGATGTTTATTGTGAATGGCTGGGATAACAGCATTATTTGAATTCCTGTTAAAAGACACCTTGTTGCGCTGTAATTCTTGTACACAACAACTAAATGATATTGCCCAGGATATGTTCACAAACACAATGTTTTCTTTTCTAACCTCTAAACTGGCAAAGAGCTGTCACATTTTACCTGTGATTTCATCTCATAAAGAGTAGCATCCTCTGGAGTTAACTGAAGTGCTTCATCCCACTTGACAAGAGCCTCTCTGTACCTGTAGTTAAAAGAACATTACAGTGTCATTACATTTAAAGAGACTGGATATTTGTATTTATATGCTGACATGATCCTAAATAAAGTGCAATAGCATATTAGTATTAATTATTTCTCTAATTACTTTCCCGTAAGACATAGTGAACTGTTTTCAGGAACTGGGTATTTGATGTTCTGACCAAATGGATACTAAGCATTACAACTGGCCTCAAGTGAACTTACAAGGCAACACTGGAAACCTGTGGCCCAAATTTAATAACTTAAAACTAGAAATCTTGAACTGAGTCCAATTTTCCTCAGTGTCAAAATCAACCTTAGCCAGGCATAAATATATTCTGAACTCAACATGCCATGATACAGTCATAATTTATAAGTTCTTTTCATCCTAAAAACTCTGCATTTCTGCACTGTAAGACAATGTAAGAATCTAAAGACATGCACTTAACTTCGGTATACACATATAAGAAGAAAGTTGAAAGTAAAGTTATATTGAAATCATTCCACTTTGGGAAAGCAGACACTATGCTTTCACTAGGAAAAAGAAGGAACGAGAAGAGTTGACCAAAAGCAATAAAAAGTAACTTTTTGCCTTGAACAATGAGGTAAAACTAGAAACACAATGAACAACTGTAACAAATAGTAGATGCAGTTACAGCTGTGCAGGCTTTCTGCCCTAAAAGTGGACTCTTACCAACATTAATGAGTGTGTGAGGTTATCACATGTTTTCTGAAACTGTTTCAAAATCCACATTTGTTTCAGAACTGCGTGGGAACACCTGAATTTACATTAATGACACTGAAAAGGTAATCAATGTATCCACCAATTTGCTCTTGGCATACATATACTTCAATTTTAACATAGTGTAGATAAAACCACAGTGCTTTTCACACACACAGTTGAAAGTTTTTACCTTCCCCTACTCCCCCATTCTTCCTTCCCATTCCTTTCCCAATTTTCAATGCTCTGGGTTGTATTACACCTCCAAGTTTTCCAGAGCACTCATATGAAGACTTCAAAAAGTTCTGAGCCAATTCAGAACAGAAAAGCAGACTGGAAAAACTGAAGTCAAACCCTCACTATGATTCAGATATTATTAGTTTGCAAATTACACTAATAAGTATGATATTTGAGTGCTAAGGCAAAGGATGCTTCAATAAATGTTCACATTTCCTCAAAGTTTAACCACCAGCTGTGCATTTTGCATCTCAGTTCACTCCCCATGGGCAGGTGTTCACCCTAAAGAAAATACCAAGACATTTTCTACAAGCATCAGTAGAAGCTTTATGCTCTTATTTACTTAGTGGGGACTACTTCTGAAGTAGAAGATTATGGTTAAGTTCAAGACCTAGCATGCACCTTGCAGATAAAGCCTACGTGAGTAAGGGTCGTCTAAGCTCAGTTAGGTAGTGTCCTGGCCATGCAGAAAGGTGCAATATTGTGAGCACAGTAAAAAGTTTGGTTAAAAAAGTTTTGGAAAACAGAGCAAATACAGTAGTAACATCAGTAACCAGAAAGGAAGGAACAGCACTGCCATTCTGCAAGTAAAAAGATATAAGACAAAAAGTTGTATTTCAGGTACATTAATTTTTACTTCTATGAAAGGAACATCATTGCTGAAAACACCAACCTGAATGGGATAAAAACGCTTAGCAAGAACATGCTACCTCCAAAGGAAGGGTCAATTATAAGCTAATATTCCCCCAAATCCTGCTGGGTGATTTYACTGCCAATTTGTCAACAGTCTGCCAAGAGAACAAAGATGCACAAGGGAGAAGAATTTGCACATTCACAGAAACACTATGCTACGTGTGTTCTGTGTGTGAACAGTAAATTACGTAACTCTGCCTGTGAGCCTCAGAAAGAATGATCAGAGAAGAGACAACAGAATGCCAGCATCACTTCCCAGACTAAGAACACAACAGCAGAGGGTCAGCAAAGGAAAGGTTTTCTGCAGGTACATGCTGAACCATCTATTAAAGAGACTGACTSCTGACTTCTTATTTATACTGCGGAGATATCCCAGGCTCGTGAAACAGCCATCTTTGCAGCGCATGCATTTCCTTGAGAGGAAGGTCTAATAAAACATGGCTGTTCTATTCTTTTAAATACTCAGTAAAAAAATATTTCTATTGTTGCTCAAGGAGAAACTAAGGACACTGTCCTTACTGAGAGAAAACTATTTTCTCTTAGTAAATTTAAATTACCCGCTCCAGTAATGCAAATTTAGGTAAAATCCTTTATAAAAAGTCCATTAATCAAAGAATGCTGTATCTCATTCTTCTGAAGGAAAACATTATATAAAATAATATATTAAATATGGAACGCCATACAGAAAAAGATTCCTAGGAATATAAGATGCAGTTGTAAAGTCAATGTTCCAATAAATGTTTTATGAAAACCATAAGCCTTGGCTGAAATACGAAGGGATCTAACACAGGCATAGTCTTGCAAAGTAAGTAATCTTTTTAAATAGATCATTTTACTCTTTCTCAGGATAATTTTTAGAGCTGAACTGTACAGCTTTACCACTGTACTTTACCACGGTGAGGAGAACTAGTTTTGAAAAAGGAAGCTTCAGTATAAATATGACATCTGCTTTGGGTTTAATAACCATATTTAATGAGCATTCCATTTGCTATTCACACTTCTTTTCTTAGAAATGAAACAAGCTCACATTCAGTTGCATGATTAGCAGGTCACAAGCCTGTATGCATCTGCTGAGTTGCAAAAACTGCCATGTCATGGCTGAAAAAAATTGAAGTTACTACTTTTAGCTTAAAGCTGTCCCAGTGAAGGTCTGCCAGAAGCTCTTTCAATGTGTCTGACACGGAGAGTGTACACATGTTCCAAACACATGACATGGCACAGTTGATGCTTCACAGGATGTTCTGAATTGAAGTGACTCAAAACAGCCAGGCCCAACTCCAGGCCCTGCACAGGACACCCCAAGAGTCACACCACGTGCCGGAGACCATCACCAGCAGAGAGATGATCTACTTGAACTCTGACACCCGTCTGTGTCCAGCTCTGGGCTGACTGCTGTGACAGSGACATGGACAAATTGGAGTGAGTCCAGCAGTGGGCCACAAAGATCATTTAGGGCTTGGAGCATCCGCCATGTAAGGGAAGGCTAAGAGAAACAGGAATATGCAGCCTGGAGAAGGGGAGGCTCAAGAGGAATCTTTCCAAGGTGCAGAATTGCTCATTGTGGAAGTGAGGCAGGGAGTTCAGAGGACAGAATCAGACTCTTCTCAGTCATATCCAGTGACAGGACAAGAAGAAATAGGCACAAACTGAAGCACAGAAAATTCTATTTAAGCCCACCTCCATCACAGGAGGTATCCAAAATGCAACTGACTTTGCTTTGAGCAGGAGCCAGAGTAGAAAAATCTCCTGGAGTTCACATGGATTACATAATACTAAGGTAATCAGCAAAATAAGTGATACATGACTTAAGATGTTATTATCTCTTGGTTAGATGAAAACAAATTTTAAGCAAAATTTAAACTGATAAAAAAATAGATCCATTAATTTTTAGAACTCTGGGCTACAAAAATTTGTCTAATGTAGTAGTGAAGTCACAGACTATTAATAACAGACATATCCTGCTTTCATATAAAAACAGTATTTCCAGAAAAATTTAAACCCTTATGGATATATACATGGTAACTAAGCACCTAAACAGTAATGCAAAACAGTAATGCAAGCCTTTTGAAATAGAGGATTCTATTTATGTGAGTATAGATACAGTATACTTATCTACCAACTCTGATTTCAGCCAAACAGTATATTTCATTAGAAAAAATATTACAGAGATATAAACAAAATTTAATTAGAATTTTCTCTTCTTTACTGCAGAGCTATAGAAAGGAATAAATTATTGACAACTGGATACATCTGGAATGGCTTCAATGTACAAGACCTGATGGATTTAGACATTTTTTATTTAGCAGTGCATGAAATCCCTTAGCTCCCCCAAAGTACTAAAACTGCTGTCTTCAGACATGCTACTGACCATCTGGGAGCTATAGAAACTTGGCACGTTTTTCTGCAGCTTGCCAGACTTTTGAAACCAACATCTCGTGCTTACACTTCACTTTTTCAACACCACTTCTGGGAAAACAGGATCTCTTGAACTCTTAAACAAAATCATTAAAACAAATTTTAAAAAATAAAAATGTTACAGGCTTTTTCATAAAAAAAAAAAAAATTCAAATTACACAGAGATTGATTTTTGAATCACGCACATATAATGCCAAAAACTATTGCCGCAGCTCATGCAGGATTTAGAGTCCTGTATTTTTACTCTCAGGTTTGCTACATGCAGAAAGTAAAAAGAACAGAGTGAGATGACATAATCAGAGTGACACTGAAAATATCTGTAAATGTACTAAAAAGAGGACATGGTATCAAATTCAGACAAAATGAGACACATGCCACGCAAGAGAGAGGCAGAGTACAGGAGGCAGTGTCAGGTGAAGAGTAAGGAAACCTAACGCCAGGGATTTCTTTTAGACTTGGACGTGTACTCCTAYAATCAGATGTTACAGGAGAATGATGAAAAATACAAACAGAGCTAAGAAAGGGAAAGGCAATTTTAAAAAGAATATGCCTAATTGTCAAARACTCCTATCACAGAGCAGGAACATGAATGGTCTGTGACCACCAGCAACATGATCCAGAACAATTTTAACGTAGTGCARGGTCAGACTCTAAGTTCATCAGAGAAAAAGAACATCAGTCAGTAATTACAGAGAGAACATAAAAGGAGAAATGAAAATTAAAGCAGAAGTTGATTACAGGCAGAAACTTCCCTTTTTAGGCTGGGAGATGATGCAGGGCTAGACTGCGGTAGAAAAGAGCCAAACAGGTGAATGAGGAAACTAAGAAGAATTAGGGAGAATAAATGTAACATGGCTTTTTTGTGTTTAACAACTTCAGACTTCTCTAACACAGGTAGGTTTTCACAGCAAAGTGAAGCACCCCTCTGCTGGGGGTGA